GAATCATTTTTTTTCATTCAATATGTATAATTGCACGCTAAAATAATATAAAATAGGTATCAAATATTCAAGAGAAAAATTTTCTCAAGTTGAGAAAATTTTTTTCTTAGCTGCAGTAAGTGGCGCTGCTTCTCTAAAGTATCTAAAAATCTTAATCAAATATAAAAATTTATTGTATCAAGTATTTATAATAATTTGAATGAAGAAAAAATTACTTCCACTAAGAATAGAATTTCAAGAAAAACTTTTACTTCGGCCAACACAACTTCGGTCTTCCTTCAGACACCCGAAAATTTTCTTGAGCCAAGAATTTTGTTCTCCAGTCAAGAAATTTTTCTTTCTGTGCACCCACACCTTTCGAGCTAATTGATCGATTTGATTTATCATTGAATTTTATCAAGGTAAAAATTTTTTTACAGCAAACATTGACGTGTAATTGGCAAACTAACATGTTATCTGTGTTCTCACGAAATTAAAAAATAAAATCAGGGTGTCATATTTAGGTAATAAATTTGAAAACCTAATACCATGAATTGTAAACTTAGTTTAGTAGTTAGTAGTTTAGGTGAGTATTATAAACAGAACTTCCGGGTTACGCCTCGAAAACCAAAATACAAATAAAGGACATCCCTTTATTGTTGATGATCAACACTACCGCAATAGTGCTAAGATATTACTAGAACTAGAATGACATAAAAATATACACGAGCAGCGGGATGAAAAAAAATAAAAATAAGAAAAGGGTCTCGGGGTAACGATAGTGCTTGTTTAGTTAAGGCTCTTCTCTACTCTGCTCTCCATGCCACTCTGGAGCCTGAATTTAAGTTTAAAAAGAGAAGACCCAAAGTAAAGAGAAGAAGAGAAAAGCCAACGAGCCACCACCAGTGTGTGAACGTTTATCTGCATGTCAATAGGATAATGGTAATTGGGATACCGTTATAGGGTTACGTTCAAATTCCGCTATCCTACTCCGCTACTCCTTGACACAACCACCACCGTACTAATAATAGTCGAAAAAATATCCTAGCCACTTGGTTTTAGTCACGTACTTTTTTTTTTAAAGTATAAAAAAATTTTCTAAGACGTGAATATAATTAGGATTTAACTGTACTAAGTACCTGTTGTATCAACACGTCATCTATCAAATTCTATTGTCAGTTGGTTTTTTTTTTTTTTAATATTTATGGGTTAAGGTCTTAACGGTTTTGAAGGCTAACAAATTTTAGTGACGTTTTTTGATCAATTTTCACTGAAATTTTTTATTTTTAATATTTATCACCTCAATTGAGCACCTAATTTTTTCGGCTTATTTGAAAAAAAAAAAACTTCTTTAATTTAGCGAAGAAATTTATCAATTTATACTTAGTTCAATAAAGAAACTATTCGACAATATAAAAGAAATTACATTTTTAAGAAAAAATATTTAGTAGAAGTGAAAAAAAATTTATTGTTTCAAGTAATAATTGCAGAAGAAAAAAATTTCATTTTAAGCAAACTGATAGTGATAGTAAATCTTAGAATATTCGGAAATTTACTTAACATTTCAATTTTAATGAAACAAATTTTATCAAAAGTAATTAGTTCCTCGGCAGTGGATAGGTGGTGAACGGCGGTTCAAAGTTTTAGTTTGCAAAGCGGTAGATTGTGTAATTAAGTACCATTCAAAAGTTCTATCCATATCTTCCGCTTGATAATTTTTTAAACATTAAACTTATTGATTATAGGTGTCAAAAAATTATCAATCTTAGTGGAAACTACTTTCAATAATATTGATATATCTGAATAATATGAAACTTAAACAAATCTGATTAAAGTTTTAGTCTGTTTCTCAATTAATATCTTATTTTCTATCTAAAAGTGGAGAAAATAGTTATAAGAATAATTTTACTTATAATATATGTATGTCTTGTAGAAATTTAAAACGTTCATGTTTTTGCGGTCCATCAATTGTTCTTAGTCCATCAATTCTTTTTCGACTGCATTTTTTAAAATAATTTTTAAGTCTGATGAATCTCACAGAAAAAAAATTTACTTGAATCAAGTAAATAATTTTGAAAAACTTCGTCTTCTTGATTTGGTAGAAAAATTCTTAAACTAAGAAATTTTTTCTTGGTTTAGGTAAATTTTACTTTACTCAAAAATTTTTCGTCTTGCCCGCATGGAAAAATATATATGCGAAAAATGTATGGAAATATATATTTTCATATATATTTTTTTTGCGCTAAATATATGTTCGCATATATGTTCACATATATGCGTGCATATATGTTCACATATATGTGCGCATATAAGTGTCTAGAGATACACAGAAAAAAATTTAACTTGAATCAAGAAAATAATTGAAAAAAATTTAACTTTCTTGATTTTAGTAAAAAAATTCTCAAACTTAGAAATTTTTTTTTTAGTGTATGCTTACATATATGTCTACATATATGTAAGCATGTATCTCTGCATATATGTCAGCATCTATGTGAAAAATATATGTTGACATATTTTTTTTTTGCGTAAATATATGTGGCATATACATTATATATGCGACATATATTTTTGACATATATATTTCTCCATGCAGGTGATTCAAGACAATGAAACTCTTCAAAATTATTTCCTTGGTTCAAGAATTTTTCTCTTGATTCAAGTTAATTTTTTTTGCAGTGCAGAAGGTTTAGGTGATCTTTCTGTAACATTAAAATGGTATTTTCGCTTTAAAGACATTATTGTTACTAGGTATAATTAAGAAATGAAATACTACAAATAAATTTATGAAAGTATCCCGTGTAAAAAAAAATCGTCTTAAAATTGTCTTAAAATTGTCGTTCGTTTAAGATCTTAAACGTGACACAAACTAAGACTATTTTAAGACTCTTTTAAGATGCCAAAAAAAAAACATTCCGAGATTTTTTAACAATTATTTTGATTTTTTTAAGACTATTTTAAGATTTTTTCAAGACGATTTTAAGATTTTTCTAAGACTATTTTAAGATTTAAGTTTTAAAATAATTTTTATATAGTCTTGAAAAATCTTAAAATAGTCTTAAAGAAATCTGAAAAAAAAATATTAAAAAATTTTTAGGCTATTTTCAGATATAATCACAGTGGCAGCTCCGGAAAATTATTATGGAGCGTCTTTAAATTGTCTCAAAATTATCTTAAATTAGTCTTAAAAAAATCTTAACAAAAAATTTAGACTATTTTAAGATGGGCTAACAGCGACAGAGCCCCGGAACATTAAAACGGAACGTCTTAAAAAAGTCTTAAAATTGTCAGATAATAATTTTTTAACAATTTTAAATTCAATTTAAAAACATCTTACTCAAAAATATTGCGGTTAGAAAGTCGTAAAATCATCTAAAAATTAATTTTCACAACAAATTCGAGAACAAAATTTTCAAAAATCTGCTCTCGGAATTTTTCTTTTGGCGTCTTAAAAGAGTCTTAAAATAGTCTTAGTTTGTGTCACGTTTAAGATCTTAAACGAACGACAATTTTAAGACAATTTTAAGACGATTTTTTTTTACACGGGTATCTACAAGGACGAATTTTGAAAAAAAGCTTAGCAATCCACCAACTTTTTTTTCAAAGTGTAAAAAATCAAAACATCTTCGACCTTATTCCCCCAAAAAATTAGGTGTACAATTCTATCGAAACATAATCCTTCTCACAAGTTTCAGTAAAAAAACAAGACATTTCAATCGATGACTCCCTCCACATTTCGATCTTTAAGACTTGCATGTTGTGTGTGTTTCCAAACATATATCCATAGAGTACATAAAAATAAGACTAGATATCGCGCAGACTGCACTGCGCATTTCCTCCTCAGACGGTCCAAGACCACTACCAAGACTCATATCCTTACAACCCCATACTTATTATTTTCATTTTACAATTCCAATTGCCCTCACCCTCCACTTCAGAATTGAAAAAAATCGTCTCAGAAAAGTAAACTGAGTTGATAAAAAATATATTTAAATTCATTTTTTATTTCATCTTCCTTGATCCTCGGCGTTATTGCATCCGGCCTGGTCCCGCGTGTCCGTAACTTTTACCGTGTGTGTGCACCAGGAAGATTACGTGTGTGGATGTGGATCGGGGTTTGGGCTGTGGGCGGCAGGATACAAAAGAAAGTAAAAGGAGCAGATAAAAAGTAAGAAAAGACGAAGACGATGAAGAATAAGAAGAAGAAGACGTAGACGTAGACGACGCCGATAGAGGCGGGTGGCCAAGGCGAAGCGTGCGCGCTTTTCCTTATTCGCTCCCGCGAGGAGACCGGCTTCCGCTTCCTTATACTCCACCGCGAACTGCATCTACCAGTCGCGCGGTTTACCCGGTCGTGTACATATAAAAAATACTAATATAAAAAAATACCCAAGTGCTGTTGACAAGACTTAAAATTTTTTTCCCCTTTTCTTGTGCCCGCCGCTAAAATAATTCGCGGTCATACACTGATTAGAATTGTCCAAACAATTGCAATTATCTTGATGCGCGGGTACCTGATTTTCTTTCGTCCTTTTATTTTTCATAATGGCCGTATGTTTTCCGTCGGCTAATTTTCGTTAACCCCCGGTCTGAAAGACTGCGTGCTCGGTCGGCCTCTTCGGCCGCCGGGCTTATCATGTCCAACGATGTAATTAGCACGCGGGTAATTAACACGCGGCCGACCATTTTTATAAACAAAGTTCCTATTTTTTTAATATCAATTTTAATATTGAAATTAAAATTTATTTAACCGAGAGCTCGACCGCGTGGTGGAGATTCCCGCGTTAATTAACCCGCCAATTAGACGCAACGTGTAATGAGTTGCGCGCGCAAAAGTTCCTAAGTAATGTGCATTTAATAATAAATAATAAATAAAATAGTTGATAATTAATAATAAATTGAAAGCAATCTAGTGATTTAATAAAATATAAGTTTTTTAAATAAATATTTACTGTAAATAAGTGATTACTGATTGATGTAATTCCGTCGAAAAAAAAAAACATACGAGTTTTTTTTTAAGTAAAATGTCGAGTGTAAGTGTCGTGTCTAATTCGTCGGTGGAGGTTGACAGTGAGCTGTCCAACAATTCGTGTGTTAAGGATAAGGAAATCGGTGATGTGGAAATCGGCGTTGAGGGAGAGCCTGAAGAAGAGCGGGAGCAGAAATTTATGCTGCCTAATGACCTGTACAAAAGTTTGCTCGCGAGCGCGGTTCTGGGGAAGAGTGTGCTTACCAACACTAATGGTTACAATAATTTGAACTTTAAAGATAATTTTGCTAACTTTAAAGATAATTTTAGTGCTGCCATTGGGAATATTAAAGAGACAAAGGATCTTAAGGAGCTCAGTATTAGCAGTGTGCCGGCTTTTCCGAGGAATTTAGCGCTACATCGGGATGATAGTGACGAGGTTAGGGATTTGGTTTGATAATTATTTGAAAGTGATTTTGATTGTTTTGTTTGTTTATGATTATAACTCGTTTTTTTTTTTCCATTGTTTGCTTATAAATATGATACTAAATGGAAATAACTGATAGATATAGAAAAGTTTAATTGAAATAAAAGAAAATAATTAAAATTGAATCTTATTTTATGGATCTTTGACAAAAATAAGGGGGAGAAAAAAAATCTTGTGGTACTTTAATACATTTTATGTATAGAATAAATCTTTTGAAAAAATATGACACAGTTTAGAAGTAAAATTTTATGTTATTTTATATCTATGAATTGTTTTTTTATTAGTCAAAATAATGATTGATTACATATTTAAACATAAGTTTGAATAATTGTGTTCAAGTGCATGTCTAAAAATTTCAATATTTTCGAAAAGGATCATCGAACAATCCGAAAAAAAAAGTAAATTTTAAAAATATTTTTTCGAAAGGGGTAAAGGACTTTTAATCGGTAAATTTTATTCCTTTGGATCGAAGCATAGGTCAGTTAATAGCTTGTATGTTTACAAGTAAGGTGCTTCTTTTTCTTTTCAACGTTGATTATTTCTGCGGTACCTGAATTTGAATTAAAAAGGATTATTTTGTTTTTGATCATCAATATCTTAGCTAATTCTTACAAGTAAATCAAAAAGTAGTTTTTTTTTACTTTAATTTCCCGTAGAATCTATAACAAAAAAATCTGAAAAACGCTCGAAAATTTGTCCTATAAAGTTCTATAAAGATAAAAAATAAAACTTTTGTACAATTTCGAGCTCGAAAATCCAGTAGTTATATTGGTAGCACACTTTTTTTGTAAATTTTGAATTCTGATATTTCCCGAATGGATCAACCAATTTTGACGCTCTTGGCGGTAGTCAACATCTTTTTTTGAGCTGAAGAATAAGTTTGATTTTGAAATTCACTGATGAATCAGTAGTATAAAAGTGATTTCGAAAAACCATTAATTTTGAAATTTGCTGAAACTCCTTTGAAAGTCAAAAACTGCGTTTCCAAAATTTTTATAATTATTGATTTCATCGCACGAAGAAAACAGCTTGATTCGCGAAAAATATTCTCTTCGAAGTTTTATTATTATTCTAAGACATTCAGTTCTCTTATCTTGAGAAAGTCACACTTGAATCATGGAAATAAAGTTTTAGGATAAAGAGCAAAAGTTTGCCACTCAAAAATTTTATTAATTTATAACAAAGCACTTTACTATTTTTAAACTAGATTACCTATACTTCACTCAAAAATATCTTTCTTTTGAAGACAGGCGAAAACATTGCTTTAAGATATTACCAACTTGTTTCGAGAATAATACCAACAAGTCTTGTATTTTTGTTATTTTTGGATGTCATATATAAAAAGTTCTTAAATACATTTCAGGACAATTAAAATAAGACACGTTCATTTAAATAATTTCTTTGCTATTTTGCATAAAAAAACTTTTTCTTGAACCAAGAATAGAAAGCTCTGATAAGAGAATGAGTGACAATTAAAAAAAATAATTGTCAGTTTATAAAAGTCGTTTTTGAATAAATAGTTCGATTGTACCGACCAAAGATAATGTACTCTTGAATTAAGTGATAATAGTTATCGATCGAAGATACTGGTTTCTTGATCCTAGATGACGAAATTTAAGACTAGAAATTTTTGAAATGAGACAGCTCATTATCTTCAAAATAATTACCTTGAATCAACGTAGTTTTTATATTAGCGTAATGGTTCTCAAATCTAGAGTTTCGTTAGTAATTAGTTTTGTTTGCCGATTTTTAATATTATATTTGAACAATAAAATACCAGAGCGATAAAAAACCTACACTGAAAAAATAAATTATGTTGATTCAATTTAAACATTTTTGAACGAGGAGAATCATTTTGAAGAGTTTCATTGTCATGAATTAAATAGATAAAATTCTCAAATCAAGTAAAATTTCTTAAATCAAGAAAAATTAATCAGTTCAAGAGTTTTCGTACTTAAATAAAAACAATGAAGCTCTTCAAAATGATTTTCTTGGTTCAAGAATTTTTATCGACCGAAATCGTACACTAAAAAAAAAGTTTTGACTGGAGGGTAAATTTTCTTGGCTCAAGAAAATATTAAGGAAGATTGAAAATTTCTTGAATTAAGTCAAAGTTTTTTGAGCCAAGAAAATTTCTTCTTGCTCCAAAATAACTTTTGTCTTCCTTAAAATTTTCTTGGTGCAAGAAGTTTTTTTTTTTGTGTAGAGAATGTGACTCATTTACCTTTATTTTTATGTTTCCCTTGTCTTCATCATTTTTCATGAAGAATTTGTATCGAACGGAGGTAATTTACTCTCCAAAATTTCTCTTTGCTAAGAAAATGAGTTTTAAGAAAAAAAAAATCCTTGATAAAAGTCAACTGGTTCAGAATAATTCTCTTGGATCAAGAATATTTCTCTTTAACGAAGTTGTTTTTTTTTTGGTATATATCATAATAAAAAAAAAAAAATTTCCTGGTAATTCATTATTTTTGACGGGTAAAAATTAAATTATATTTTGGGCTTAAAAATAGTAAATTACAAAAATATATAAACATAATTGAAATAGCAACAAATAGAAAAGAACTTATGCATAACAATTGATTTAGTATCCTTCGAATTTATATTTTCAGAAAGCTTCTTTCGCGTGGTCAGATGCCGCGGACGATGGAGGAGGGGGTGGAGGAACTGTGGGGAACAATGGGACTGCGACGGGGAACGGTAACACCGGAACAGGAACCGGTGCCTCAGGAGGTGGTGGAGGGGGGCTGGCCCACTGGGTCAGTGTCATGGCTGAGCATATTCACAACCCCCATTCCACGACCGGAGTCGGTGGTGTCCACCATCAGCAGCAGTCGCCTTCTCAACCTCCCTATCCTTGGAACAATGGACTTTCTAGTGACGTAAGTTTTTCAAAATTTTTTTGCACGCTTCAAAAAAAATTTACAATCTATAATTTTTTTTGAAAATTTTGAGTTTTATTTAGAAAATATAATTTTGAAAAAAAAAAGTTTAACAAACGTAAATGCATGCGGAAGAGGAAATAATAAGTAAGAGAAGGAAAGGATTGAGTAAAAAAATATTTAAAATAAAAAAAGTGACGAAGGAAGTTTTTAAAAGAGAAAAGAAAAAATGAAGGGCCTTCACTTTTATTATTATTTATTTTTTGCTCGTCGAAGGATGCTCATTTGAATAGATATAATTCTAGGTGGTGGTAAAAGGTTTTTTTTTTCTGCAAGCATTTATTTATGAGCGAGACTATGGAGACGAGGTCCAGTAGAAAAAATGTGACGTGGTTGGTCATGAGGACTCGCAGATCTTTCTAACCTAATAAAAAAATCGTTTCAAAAAAATCCTTTTGTCTTGAAACGCTCCTAACGGCTACGGGGCTTCCTGCTCGATTATAACCCCCATTTTTTTTTACTCGTTTATTTTATTTTTTTTTTTTGCCATTCCTTACCATTTTTTATTACCTTTTTTTTCGATCTGCGATATTCAAATTTTTTTTTTTGCTCGAGGATTCGCTTTTCCTGTTCCGGTTTCTCGAGATGTTAATCCTTTTTTTTTTTTATGAGTTTTTTTGTGAAAATGATCCGGCAGATGGTAAATTAAATTAATTATTTTACAAAAAAAATTATTACTGTCCTTTTTGAACGCCTATGTATTTTTATATTAAATTAAAAAGAGTTTTAAATATTTGAGAGAAAAATTCTATGAAAATTTTTAAACGTAATAAATTTTATTGAGCAAAAAAATTTTAACTTGAAGTCTTTAAAACGCAGTTCTTAAATACATGAATAATTTCAGTTAAAAAATTTTCAAGTTAAAAAAAATCGTGAATAATTTTTCTTATCACTCATGAGTTTTTTTTTTAGATTAAAAAAAAGTAAGCGTGTTAAATACTTTAAGAGAAAATTTTTGATCAAAAAAATTCATTTTGAAGAGTTTCATTCTCATGAATCGAGCTGAAAAATTATTGAACCAAGATAAATTTTTTTAGCAAGAAAAAAATTTCTTGCGTCAAAAATTATTTTGCTTGTTTAAAAATATTAGAAATTATACAAATTAATTTCTTGGTTAAAGATTTTTTTTCTTGAGCCAACTTTTTTATTCCTATCCACTGTGAAAGTTTTTTTTCCAAAATTAATCTTTGAATTTGCATTACTCTATAGTGAGAAAAAAAATTTTTTTAAACGTTAATTTTATAAAAATAACATTTTCATAAATTTGAATTTTCTAATCAACTTTAATTGTAAATAAAAAAAATTTTTTTTACGTACACACGTAAAACTAAATAGAATAAAAATTTTAAAAGATTATTTGCGCATAAAAATTTTCTCATAGAAACGTCTGATAAAATTTCATTACAAAATAACAATATTATCCCTATCAATCGTTAATATTTGACATAAATAACATGTATGCACAAAGCGACAGAACAATTTGCATCGGATAAATATACCCTAAAAAGATTATTCAAAAATTTGGTTACTACATAAACACAACGTGACACATATGACACTCGAAGATGCAAAGTGATACATTTAAATACTAAAAATGAAATGTATTCGTCGATTAAGAGTACTCGATAGTCTCAAGTGGCTGGCGGGAAATATGTGCATAGAAATCAAAGGATCGCGAGAAAAGATGCTAAAAAAACAGTAAGAGAGAGAGAGAATCTCCAACGAAAAAGGCTTAGAGGCTCCTTGCAATGTCGGCTGTCGACTGTCGGGCAAAAATGCAGATTGCGGTGATTGTCTTGAACCGTACTTTAGGGCTCGAAAAAATAGTGTCCCTCGAGTTAAGTTCCAGCGGAGGAATTACATAGTCCATGGACGACCCTAATGTTAAAATGTATACACAGGTCCAGTTTTTCTTCCTCTTCCTCCTGAGCACAACAGGCGAGTATATGCATAAGCATAAAAAGTAAAGCCACACGAGGTGTCTGTCTCAGCCGTGAGAATCTCCGATAATTTACATACTGCAGATTATTTAAATCAATTTATTATCCTGGGCCATTCTTTTCTCTATACTATTTTTTTATTGTCATATAACGTGCGTTGTTTTTGACTCAACCATATACCCACTGGCACTGTCTTTCTTTTTATTTTACTCTTGTGCTCTTTAGGCCACTGGCATTCGCTGATGCTGATTTTTTACTAACACTAGTCTTCTCTCGAGTACGCTTCCTATTCGCATTCAAATAACTTTCCTTTATTTTTTAAGGGCGACGACACGCTCATCGCGTACCCATCCTCACTCACTCTAAATTTATGCAACAACTTCTAATTTGGGAATTGAAAAAACAAACGTATATGTATGTTTTAATGTATATAGTATTTATGTTTTTCTATGCTTTGTAATGCGATATTTTCATCAGATTGTATGGGAATTTTTTTGTTCAGTTCTTTAATTGGGTCTGAGTAAACAGATGCTGAGATTACATCTATTGATTTTTTATTTGATTGTCAAGGTACAAACACTTAATTTGCTTATTCATTAAAAATTCGAGGATACATTATTATTAATAAAAATTAATTAATTTTTGGAAAATTTATTTTTTGAAAAAAAAAATTTTAATAAAAAAAAATGATTACAAAATTTTTCTTGAGGATAATCTTAAACTATAATAAACTAAAGTATGCAATAATTTTATGTGCCTTTAGCGCGAACGCAAAGAATGCTCTATCATCATCTAAAAATCACGATCTTAAAGTCTTGTCTTGTAATATAATTTTTAATTGGTTCTTTTCTTATGATTTACGCATTGGATCGAAAGAAAGCGTTCCATCCGTATGAAACAAATACTGTCCGCGGAAAAATTTAAAATTGAATTGTAAATAAAATTAATATTGGCAAAATTATTTTTTCAATTTACTCTTGCAGTGTCCAGTAGATAATTTGTTTTATATCAACGTTTGATATAAAATTAATAAAAAATTGAAAATAGTATGGAAGTTATTAGTAGAAACTTATTGTATATTCAAACTTTACTTTGATCAATTTACCTTTGACACGAGCGCTTAAGGCGTGAACATTCGGATTTACCAAACTTTTTTTTTTTCTCTTTAATTAAAAATTCTTTTACCACGTGAAAGGTTCAATAAGCTATGAGCCGTAATTGTTTTCTGAAAAAAAAACGTTCTTTTTTTTTTTCAATTGATACTGTAATTGAATTGAACTCTAATTTTTTTTCTTGATTTTTAAAAAAAAATTAATCTTCATCTGGACAAAAATGTTTTATTGAAAAAAAAAAAAAAAAAATTATTTGTCATTTATTCAAAAAATGGTCGAGTGTTAGACTATTTTTAATAACAAAAAAAAATTTTTTTTTATCGGACATTTTATCAATTGTACATTAAACTCCTTACTTTTTATTCAGTTTTCTATAAAAAAAAATACTTTAATAAATTTTAAATATTTTTCTACGTATGTGAATTGTTTTAATTCCCTTGTAAATTATTACTCAAAAATTATTAGAAACTTCTGTTATTCTAAGTATAAAAAAAAATTTCTGTAACTCAAAAAAAAATTCATATTTTGAAACACCTAAAAAAAAATTCATACCTACAGATCCTGACACAGATCCTCAGGAAAAAAAAGTTAAACCGTCATCCCAATTAAACATATCTGCAAAAAAGCCCCGAAAATTTTCAGTTAAATTAATTAACCATTCAGAAGCAATCCGTCAGCACGCAACCACTCTTAGCTCCTCAGCAAAAAAAAAATGATAAAAAAAAATCCGTAGCAAAAAAAGTGAGTTCCAACGAAACGGTTTCGGCGCCCCCGGGCGTCATCATCGTCCACGTCATTCAGCTCCACTCTCTTTTAAACAATCGCGCGGGGTTGCCCCGCGAGAATGTCGTTGCTCGATTTGCATTTCTCAGATAGCAAAAAAATGACGGTGGTTTACAAGTGAAAAAAACTCGCTGCAAAAAAATATTTTAAAAAATAACAACCCAAGGGTTGAATTCATTTAGATTTAGTCCTTACGTTCTCTTTCTCTCTTTGTCTCTTTCTCTCACTCTTAGCTGGTCCTTAAGCTCACGCGGTCCTTTGTCCCTACCCCCCAGAAGTTCTTAGTTTAGGAAGCATTATTTTAATTTATAAAGATCGGACGAGTAGGGGAAATGAGGATGAGCAGTGACGGAATTCCTCGTTTAGATACTCTCTCTTTCTTTTTTGCATAATCTTAAAGGGGTTGTTTTCACTATTATTGTTATTGTAATTATTATTCGTAACCAAAGATAGCGAGAGTGAATGAGCGAAAGAGAAAGTTCTCTCACACCCTTAAGTAATGTCTTTCTACATAATGTTTAGTGAATATTCTTATTTAAGCGACTAAGGGATATAAAATAGTGTATACAGAGATATGTGTGCTCAGAGGGAACCTCAAGAAAAATTATCCTAAATACTTTTAAGCGTTTTAAGGGATTATGTTTGCGGACGCGTAAAAAATCTCAAGGGTTGACCACCCGCTGGGCAAACTACATATTTTTATAAACATTTTCTCATCGCATCGGTATTATTATGTATTAAAATATTTTTTATATAATTATCTTGGGTTTTACTTTGTCAGAGAATTGAATCGAAAAAATATAGTTGAATGAGACTCTAGTAAAACAGTTGATGCATGGTGATTGAGAAATATTGTCAGAAATCGGTGATTTGTATAAGAAAAAACAAAGATGTATATATGTATCTATGTAGTGATAAAGAGAAAACCACTTTATTTTATTTTTTTCAAAACTTAGAAACGCGTTAGATGAGTAGTCTCACTACGGCCGATAGATGGCGAGAGGCAGCTCAAAATTTTCGTTTGCAAAGCGGTAGATCGAGTTATTGAGTATGATTTCTCAATTACATAAAATAACATTACATAGGATTTTTTATCTTTCTTTTTCCCTAAATAAATCATTCCACATTCTAGTCAATCTACTTAATTATTTTATAATATAAAAAAAAA